ATATCATGTCTGCATCTTATCTTCTGAATAACTACTATGAAGACAAAATATGCAATTATTAATTATTGTAGCTATCCTACTAACCTGTTTTGAAACTATTTCATTGCTATTTTTATCTTTTTTCTCATTAAAATGAATAAAAAATAAGTAAAAGAAAATATATTATTTTGCTAATGACAAAAATAAACTACTTAAAGAAAAGGAGAGAAGATTTAACTTGCATTAGTAGTGAAAATTTCAAAAACCTAAAAAACCAAATTAGAAATTAAATGGAGACTGTTAAAGACACCTCTTAAGAGTCTGAGAAAATAACTGTGCTGCCTATTTAGAACTAGCCATCAGGTTTACACACTGAATGAGTTGAGAAATTCATTTACCTTTTCTGAATATCAGACCATTTTTGTTAATATAAGTAGTAAATATAAATCATATTTTATTGCTTGCCAATTTTATCATTTATGTTAGTACTATGTAAATTTATTTTTTTTTTTACTTTGTAAATTTATATATGAATTACATACATTATCTTCTTTATAAAGTTCTTTTTTTTTTTTTTTTTTTTTGGCAGAACTAGGGATTGAACTCAGGCCCTTGTGTCCATATAAAGTTCTTTAGAATAAGATAAATCTTGGTGTTTTTCATTTTCTTTCTTTGTGGGAACTGGAAATTGAGCTCATGTCCATGGGCTTGCCAAGCGGGCACTACACCACTGAGCTGTATTCCAGGTCCCTGTTTTGCATTATTTTTAAAGCTAATTCACTTAAAAACACAGAACATAATCCATTGTATGATAAAAAAACATTTCAGGATTATAAAAAGTCTAGTAAGCTAGCACTTATCACAGCATTAACCAATTCAGCTAAACTTAACTTTTTATGCACTATTAAAGCACCTCATCCAAACAGCTGAACATTAAATATTACCTAGTTTTACTTGCATCATTATATAAATATACAAGTATGTAAGCTACCCTAGCTTATAAAAATATATAGCACTCTAAACAAATCAAAGAAAAAAAGGACTTTTAGTATAAAAAGTTAATATATGAAGAAAACAATTGTAACTTTGAGAAAGCACTGTATTGTAATGCAAAACTAGGAAATGCTAATTTCTCCATAAAAATTAGAAATACATAAAAATAACAAATTAAAATAATTCTTAGTATGCTACATCAAAGTTTCATTTTTCTTATTGGTAGGACAGTATGATTTTCATTTTAAGGCTGAAAAAGACAACAGATTTCTAAATCAGATCTTTTTTTTTTTTTTTTTTTTTTTTTTTTTTTTGAGGAACCAGGGATAGAACTCAGGACCCTGTGCTTGCCAGGTAAGCACTTATTCCACTGAGCCATCTCCCTGTCCCCTCTAAATCAGATCTCGTTTACACTACTATTTAATATTTTGCTGAGTTTTTGCATTAAAAACTTTCAACCAGAACTTACAAAAAGCTTAGTAAAAAGATTCAATATGCAACTAAAAACGTTAAACATATGTCCTATGAGTTATTTACCTTTTAAATTCAGTTAACATAGTCTCAAATGATTTTTAGGTAAATTTAATTCATTTAAATGTGTTAATAAAATAATTCTGTGATTTTAACGTAAGACCACAATTGTTAGGTATACTTATGCAACATTTAAATTCCACACCAACCTCATGAAAAGCAAAACACATCATTATAGTAGAATCTATTTAATCTTTCTGGCTCTTACAGTATAATCAAGAGAGTTTATTACCTCAAAAGATAGATTTCATATAGCTAATGATGTCTGGTGCAGAATAAATGTAAAAATTACACTAAATATTCTGATCAATCACAGTACTTACCACTGAAATCATAAATATAAAGAAGAATTGGCTCATTCTGCCCAAATGCACAAAATGCAACCATATTTTCAAAAGGATGGTAAGCAATGTCTCGAATAGGTGACTTGAATGGCAGGTCAGAATACATTGCTACTTGTTCCCCTAAATAAAAAAGAGATTCAATAATTTCTACTGTATCAGGTAATTCTCTTTAGAAGATTATTCTGCAACTTATTGAAATATGTATAGTAACAATGACACTTATATTACTTACCTGAAACCCCAAAATAAAATTGGATACACTGTGTTAAATAGTCATTATTTTACATTCTGTTGGTCATCCCTTTTGTACTTCTAAATTCTATCTCTTAAATAAGGCTACCAAGGCACAAAGTGACATGCTTAGAAGGAACTATACAGGTATATGGCTATGTTATCTGAAAGAATTAGCAACTAAAATCAACAAAGAACTTTGGGGAAAACAAGGGAAGCAATTAACAAACCTCAAAACTGAAGAAACTCTCCAACTGAAGGATTAGTAGGGATTGTGTTCTTAAAATTTTTTCCCCACAGCCTGTTTGAGGTTTCATCTACGTAAGAGATATTTACAATCATGGCACAAAGATGCCTAAAGCAGAAGTTAGTAGTATCTAGGAAAATCACCAAGAAGTCAAAAAGCAAGGAGACCTATTTTTTTATTTTATTTTATTTATTTTTTCCATAGCAGAATTCTACAAGAAATTTGGAGAAGATTTAATGTTAACTTTTCTCATACTCTTCAATGAAATTGAAAGGGAGGCAATGCAGCAAAACATCACGATGATTATACATCATGACTAGGTGGGATCCATTCCAGGAATGCAGGGATGGTTCAGCATACAAAAATCCATAAATATAATACACTACATTAGCAGAACCAAGAACAAAAACCAAATGATCATCTCAAGAGATGCAGAAATACCTTTTGACAAAGTCCAATACTCATTCCTAATCAAAACCCTATAGAGAATTGGAACAGATGGTCTATATCTCAACCTGATGAATGCCAGAGATGTAGTTATTAAAGGAAGACAGCAATATAATGTTTCTGTATATGGCAAAGCATGGTATAGGAAAAACAAAATAAACTTGTTAAAAATGCTTATGTAGTGCCGGGGAGAGAGCGCGGTGGTCTAAGTGCCTGCTTGGCAAGCACAAGGACCTGGGTTTGATGCCCAGTACAACATGCTGTGCTGGCTGCAAGCCAAGCCATCCACCAAAACTGAGCATGGTGGTGCATGCCTGTAATCCCAGCACTGGGAGGCTGAGACAGACTAGGAGTCTGAGCTAGGTAGCAAGACCCTATACCAAATAAATACATAAAATATTTTATTTTTTTTAAAGATTTTTAAAAAATGCTTATGTAGTTTTAATTTTTCCTTTGAAAAGCAAAGAACAGGAACAAGTCAACTTGGTGTAACTGTTTATTTGAAGATAATTATAGTAGTTTAGGTTATTGCTAAGTAGGTTTCAGACATCAAAAACTCACAGGAATATTTTTATTATTAAAGAATATATACAGTAAATATTTACCTATCTACCTAGTCATAATTCAGCCTATATTCTGTATATTGTACTACAATCTTTATTAGGTTCCTATGAGTAGCAGTATCGCATGAGCAAGAATAATTATTATGTGAAATTTTAAATCTATAATGAAAGCAAAAGAGGACAAAATTTAAGTTTAGACAGTAGCGAGTTTCACTAAAAGTTACCCTGAAAAAATAGTCAGAAACTTGAAATCAGAACTTTTTAAAAAATTACTGTATAAAATGATAGTTTTCACACTTCTTGAAACCTCTCATCACCACCCTCGAAAAGCAGATTTGAAGATCACTAAACACTCACCTGTTTCTGGGTTCCAAACATATACTCTGCCATCCTCACTTCCTGCAAAGAGGTAAGTCCCACAAGGCGTCAAAGTACTGTGAATCTTTTCCCGATAATTTGCTGCACCTAGAAATTTCCTTGCTGCTAATCTATAAACAGAAATAAATTATAGACACACACACACACA